AGTGACAATAGGAGAGGGAGGAGGAAGAAGGGTTGGAGCATAGGGGGAAGGAAGGGAGGGGAGGAGGGAAGTATCACTGTGTTCATAAATATGTGTGTGTGTATAATATCAAACTTAAATACGTAAATAAAATTTAAAGAAATTACTCATGGCCAGTTTTCCAACAGTTCATGTTTCCTTTTGAGCTCTCAGAAAAATTTCCCTCTACATTCCATTTGTGACAGTTTTGTCTTGTTCTAGCTTGTTCATCCAAATTCTTCTAGCCGCTACGCATTACCCAGTTCCAAAGTCAATCCCACATTTTCAGGGATTTCTCACAGCAGCAACACCATTTCTGGTACAGATTTTTTGCCTTAGGTGCTTTCCTGCTTCAATAACAAATACCTGAAACTGGCTAATTTATAATGAACAGAAATCTATTTGGCTCCTGGTACTGGGACCTGGGAAGTCTGTGGGCATAGTGCTGGTGTCTGATGCTGGCAAAAAGGAATGTTCACATACAGAAGGGAGATCTAAATTCAGCTGTTCTTCAAGGCATTCTGTAATCCTGCTCCATTCCCACTATATCCAGCCTAGTTTACTGCTGGAACCCTCTAGCAATTCTCTATGAAGTAAATTACACTGTTTGTGTTCCCTAGCTGGTCCTCTCTCTCTCTACTTCCCCACAAGTGAAAGGAAACAAGCATGTTATGGGATCAGCTTGCGGCCTCCCTAGCTTCCAGTTTTCAACAAAGGGCCAACGTGTTTCTCTCTTTTCTGTTCAGCCTTTACCAAAATTGTGGTCTGATTCTTGATCCTTGTAGACATTTGTTATTATGTAGCCAAATCTTTATATGTAACGAACTCTTTTTTATATAAAAAATCTGAGTATTGAAGAATGTAGAGTTTAGGGAGCACTTGAGATAGCAAAGGTTTTTGTTGTTTGTTCTCATTATTCTGTTAAAATTATACAAGACCAGCCATCTCACAGCTTAGATGTAAGGAAGTGATAAATAGTGGATGAAGGAACTTCATATTTAAAAAACAACAAAATAAGTGAAAGATTTCTTAAATCTGACTGCTCAAGTTGTCATTATTTCATTACACTTGAACTTTTTAAGTATTCAGTACACAGCATTGCTGCTAGTTTGTTTCACAATTCTTGAAATGTTTCTATTCATACCTTCAAAATATTTATGTAGCCATCTCATAACCTTGAGGACTTAGTGTTTCTTAACCTTGGTTTTTCAGTTATCACATTTAATTTAGAACAATTTAACAATGATATTTTCTCTTTCATATTTGCTAGATACCATCTCCTGCTAGACTTTTCTCTATTTTTTTTTTAAGATTTTATTTATTTACTTGAGAGGCAGAGAGAACGAGAGAACGAGAGAGAGAGAGGGAGAGAGGTGTTCCATCTGCTAATTCACTCCCCAAAGTAGCCACAACAGCCAGAGCTGGGCCTGTCTGAAGCCAGGAGCCAGAAACTTCTTCTGGGTCTCCCATACAGGTATGGGGCCCCAAGGACTTGGGCCATCTTCCCCTGCTTTCCTAAACAGTAGCAGAGAGCTGGATCAGAGGTGGAGCAGCTGAGACTCGAACTGGCACCCATAGGGGATGCTGGCACTGAAGGCCACGGCTTTACCCACTATGCCACAGTGCCAGCCCCTTCTCTGTTCTTTTTCTATAGCAATGTTTATAGCTGTCCACATATCAACAACCCACTAAATACATGGTTGTGTAATTCAGATGATTTTGAGAAAAATTCAAGGCTTGGGTTTGACTAGCCTCAGATTACTAAGACTTCTTCTTGAAATAAAGTTAAATTTTAAAATAATCTTTCAAAAATATTTTGAAGTAGAGTAAAACACTTAAAGAATGTAAGTCTTTTATTTATTTATTTTTTATTTATTTGTTTATTTTTTTTGACAGAGTGGACAGGGAGAGAGAGAGACAGAGAGAAAGGTCTTCCTTTGTCGTTGGTTCACCCTCCAATGGCCGCTGCGGCTGGCGCACCACACTGATCCGATGGCAGGAGCCAGGTACTTATCCTGGTCTCCCATGGGGTACAGGGCCCAAGGACTTGGGCCATCCTCCACTGCACTCCCGGGCCACAGCAGAAAGCTGGCCTGGAAGAGGGGCAACCGGGACAGAATCCGGCCCCCCAACCGGGACTAGAACCCGGTGTGCCGGCGCCGCAAGGCGGAGGATTAGCCTAGTGAGCCGCGGCGCCGGCCAGAATATAAGTCTTTCAAAATAGACCTGTGGGGGATCTGGGCTGTGGCATAGTGGGTAAAGCCACTGTCTGCAGCACTGGCATCCCATGTGGGTGCAGATTCGAGTTCTGGCTGCTCCACTTCCGACCCAGCTCTCTGGTGTGGCCTGGGAAAGCAGTGGAAGATGGCCCAAGTCCTTGGGCCCCTATATGCTCGTGAAAGACCAGAAAGAAGCTCCTGGCTTCGGGTCAGTGCAGCTCCAGCCATTGCGGCCATATGGGATGTGAACCAGTGATGGAAGACCTCTCTCTCTGCCTCTCCTTCTTTAGCTGTGTAACTCTGACTTTCAAATAAATAAATAAATCTTTAAAAAAAAAATAGACCTGTGGCATAGCAGGGAAAGCCGTCACCTGCAGTGCTGGCATCCTACATGGGCTCCGGTTCAAGTCCCGGCTGCCTCACTTCTGATCCAGCTCTCTGCTATGGCCTGGGAAAGCAGTAGAAGATGGCCCAAGCCCTTGCATCCCTGTACCCGTGTGGGAGACCCAGAAGAAGCTCCTGGCTTCAGATCAGCTCAGCTCTGGCTGTAGTGATCATTTGGGGAATGAACCCATGGATAGAAGACCTCTCTCTCTCTCTCTCTCTCTTTTTTAAGGCGCCGGCCTTAAACATATTTTTTAAATTAATTAATTTATTTGAAATGCATAGTTAGAGTAGGAGAAATACAGAGATCTTCCATGTGCTGGGTCATTCCCCAAATTGCTGTGGTTGTACCAGGCCAAAGCCAGGAGCCAGAGCTGCTTCCAGGTCTCCCATGTGGGTGGCAGGGGCCCAGGTACTTGGGCCATTTTCTGCTGCTTTCCCAGGCACTCGGCAGGGAGCTGGATTGAAAGTGAAGCAGTCAGGACTTGAACTGGTGCATATGCGATGCCAGCACTGCAGGCAGTGACTTCACTTGCTGTGTCAGTACTGGCCCCCTAAAACAGATTTTTTTTTTTTTAAGATTTATTTATTTATTTGAAAGTCAGAGTTACACAGAGAGAGGGGAGGCAGAGAGAGAGAGAGAGGTCTTCCATCCGCTGGTTTACTCTCCAGTTGGCCACAACAGCTGGAGCTGTGCCTATCTGAAGCCACGAGCTTCTTCCAGGTCTCCCACGTGGGTGCAGGGGCCCAAGGACTTGGGCCATTTTCCACTGCTTTCCCAGGCCATAGCAGAGAGCCAGATCGGAAGAGGAGCAGCTGGGACTAGAACTAGCGCCCATATGAGATGCTGGCCCTGCAGGCAGCGGCTTTACCTGCTATACCACAGCACCGGCCCCTAAACACATTTTTTTTTAACAGTTTCTCGTTGTGTGAGATAAAATATAAACTTACAAAGTTTCTGAAAGTTTAAATCAGTTAACTGTATAATTTCATGAACTCTTTAAAACCAGATTTATGTGATCATAAGGGTAATTAAAGCTGTACTAAAATACTAGTTTTTACTTTGAAAATTTGTGGACTGTTGGTAAGGATATGGTGAAACAAAGCTTTTTTTTTTTTTTTTTTGACAGGCAGGGTGGACAGTGAGAGAGACAGAAAGGTCTTCCTTTGCCATTGGTTCACCCTCCAATGGCCACCATGGCAGGCGCGCTGCAGCCCGCACACCCCGCTGAACCGAAGGCAGGAGCCAGGTGCTTCTCCTGGTCTCCCATGGGGTGCAGGGCCCAAGCACTTGGGCCATCCTCCACTGCACTCCCGGGCTACAGCAGAGAGCTGGCCTGGAAGGGGGGCAACCGGGACAGAATCCAGTGCCCCGACGGGGACTAGAACCCGGTGTGCCGGCGCCGCAAGGTGGAGGATTAGCCTATTGAGCCGCAGCGCCGGCCACAAAGCATTCTTATATATAAATAATGGGTCTAGAAGTTGGTATAGTGTTCCTTTGAGGGACAAGGTATAAGTGTGATGTATAACACACTGTGTACTTGCACATATTATAAATACATATACCCTGTGACCCAGCTAAGTGTATGAAATGAACAATGGACAAGGTTATTCATGAGACCATAGTATATAATAGTAAGGGCTTAGATAATTTCAAAAATGTTTAGGGGATTAGTTATTATATTACTTACTGTTCAGTCATACAGTGGAGAGTCTGTGGAGAGAGAAAAATGGGTTATGTTTTTATATTGGTTTAGAATTATCTTCAGGATAATGAACATGTGCTATCATTGTGTAAACAGTTGAGCACATAAGAAAGTGGTAATGTTGGTTTACTCTAGAAAAGAAAAGCAGATGGGATGCCGAGATCTCCAAATGAGAAAGACTCCCCGTTTTATTTGAAAGGCAGACAGATAAAAATCTTCCATCTCATGGCTCACTCCCCAGATGCCCACAACAGCTGGCCAAAGCCGGGAGCTGGGAACTTAATCTGGGTCTCTCACCTGGGTGGCTGGGGCCCAAGCATTTGAGCCTTCACTTGTTGCCTCCCAGGGTGTGCATTAGCAGGAAGCTGGGGTCAGAAGTGGAATTGGGACTCAAACCCAGGCAGACTGAACTGGGATGGAGCCATCCTACATGTCTTAACTACTGTGCCACATCCTACCCTGAAGGAAAAAGACTTTAACTTGATTTTGTACCCATGCAAATAAATTTCCTATTAAAAGAAAAAAAGTTTGATTTCACAAATAGATTGAAGGCAGGAAGCCCTATAAAATACCACTTTCTTGGTTAAGACTATGGTCATTCAAAGATGGAGTGAAGAAAAATAAGAATGCTTCAGAAAAATAAAATAATATTAATTTTTGCTGTCTTTTCTAG